TGAGCCATAAGAACTTTCCTATGTGCACATGCAAACCCTAATGCTTGGATCTAGGTTTCTCTAATTGAACATGCAATGTTTCCAAGGCTTACAATGCTAGATCTAGAGATAACAATTGAATCATAACACATGAAATCAGATCAAGAAGAATACCTTAAGTTGCTTGCTTGAATCTTCTTGTTCTTGGAGCTTAGAGTCACAATTGTCACTCCTCTAATGGCTTACAAACACCAACTAGCAAGAGGGTGATTTTGGAGAGAGAGGAGAGATGAGAAAATTGGCTCTAGGGTTTCAATCTTACAAGAGTGACCGATTTTCCTCGCCCATAGGGTCTATTTATACTATGAGCTACTAGGGTTACATCCTTAACCCTATTTGAATAACTTAGGCCCTAAGCAATCCAAGGATCCTTCTAGATATGAGGCTTGGACGAATTTAAGATATCCTAACCCTAAAATTCGGCCACCCTAATATCCATAAGGATTCATAGCCCAAAAACACAACTATCACACATTTGACAGTTTAAGCCCCTTTATTCAATTAACCTCTTTTAGTCACCAAATTAATTCCTAATTAATTTATGACTAATATTAACCAAACAATATTATTATTCCTTTAATATATTATTCTCATAATATATTAATATAATAATATCTCTTCTCTCTTCACAAATCACCCTGTCAAGTTGCCATGGTGAAGGCAACCCAAAAGGACAATGCACCATCGAGTCAAGTACATACTAAAATAGTTATGGACTTAGACACTAATCCAACAGTTTTTAGGTCCAGGGTTGCCACCCTTAGTATCATGTGAGTCCCATATGCATTAAACTTTCAATCTTTAGGGCTCATTTGTGCCCATGCTTGAGATCTAGCCCTTTTCATGAAAGTTTGTTGTCACATTTCAAGTTTGGGCTCATTTGGTGGATTGCAAGCCACCAAGTAATCAACTTTATGGATTAAGATGTCGAAGAGGACTTGGATCTGTAATTGTAGCTGCTGGAATGGAGTATTAGTCACTTAATGGAAAAGTAGCTTAACAGAGGAGTACGTTGGGCGTACGTGCAAGTACGCGCAGCGTACACCACCTTCAGCCAGTACGCTTAGCGTGCAAGGGAGTACGCCCCACGTACTCATCAATTATGGGCTTGGAGTGTTGTGGGCCTCGGGTTGGGTCAGGCAGTGGACTTTGGGCCTTAGTGAACCATCATAAGTCAGATGTTTTGGGCAAGGAATATGTTTGGGCTTAAGGTAAGGCCCATTAGAGGGATTGGGCCAAATTTAGCAAATTAGGTCATTAGTGGGCCACTAGTGGGCTTGGAAAGCCTACCTAGTGTTGGGCTTTTGTTTTGGGATTGGGCCTTAGTTTGGATCATACTGGGCCAGGGGTAGAATGGTCATTTTACCCCCATGCATGGATTAAGGATTATGGTATTGGGGCCCACTTGCTAATTGGGTATATTGATCGGTATTGATAGCTCAGGAAGGGGACAGAGCAACAGCTAAGGATTTCTTTCAGGAAGCTTTTGCATTCGAGGTGAGTCTCCTCACCATACCAATGGGTCTAAGGTACCAAGGCCGACCCATTTTATGATAGTTGGTATACTTGCTGTGTAGAGGTGTGTGGCATATTTATGCAGTGATATGTGGTAGAGATAGCTTTTACAGCTAATGGTAGAGATAGCCTTCATGGCTAATGGTAGAGATAGCCTTCAGGGCTAATGGTAGAGATAGGCTTTATGGCTAAGGGTAGAGATAGCCATTATGGCTAAGTGTAGAGATAGCCTTTGTGGCTGATGGTAGAGATAGCTTTTATAGCTGATTGATATGTGATATGTGGTAGAGGTAGTTCTTATAGCTAATTGATATGTATTATGTGGTAGAGGTAGCTTTTATAGCTAATTGAAATGTGTTATGTGGTAGAAGTAGCTTTTATAGCTAACTTGATAGGTGGATTGTGTGTGGGGTATGCTCTGGGGAACTCACTAAGCATTAGCTTACAGGTTGTGGATTTGTTACAGGTACATCGGATCCTAAGGGCAAGGGCAAGGCTTGATGGCACAGCGTTCACTCTCTCACAGGCGTTTTATGGGACACTCTGATGTTGGAATAAAAGTTGTATTTGACTTATGTTTTGAAAACAATTGTAACTGGATTTCTTAATGTATGGGAATGTGTTTGGATAATCAAAAATGAAAAATTTTCTTTGTAAAATTGGGTCGTTACATTCAAGATCTAAATTTTATGCACTAAAGTGGCCAAAAGCTCATAACACCCAAAACTAGCTAGATCTAACAAATACATCATCAAGATTCAAACTTTATACCTCCAAAAGAAAGATCAAGGTGAACAAGGGCTGGATCTACAAGATCCAATGCAACCAACACTTCTCCAATGAGCTTCTTCTTCAAGGTGAACCAATAACACTCCAAAGCACTTAAAACACATTTTTTGCTCATAAGGCTCAAACTAGGGTTAGGGTTTCAATGGAGGACGTTGGAGAGGTGGAGTCTGAGAATGGAAAGGGTTTGGGTAAGTGAAGGTATTTAAATAGGGGTTAAACCCAGAAATTAGGGTTTGGGTTCTGATCGTGTGTGTCCAGCGTACTCTTGGTATGCCTAGCATACCAGGTTGAATCTACGCGATCATCCGTGCCTAGTACGCCCAGCGTACACCATGTACGCCAACGTACTAGGCTAAACCCCAGACCCTCTTAACTTCTAACAGTCATAACTTCTTCGTTCCAACTCTGTATTCGACGATCTTTATATCCATGGAAAGGTATTGAAGAGACCCACACTATTATCTAGACATCTTGTACTAAAAACTTCTCGAAATAAAATCTTTATTTTATGCTAGAAGCCTGAAACATAACCTTTCCCATTTTACCCCTTAGCTTTCATCAAATAATCCAAGGTTTAAATCATTTTCCCAACATCATACACCTCCAATAGAGTCTAAACTTCATTTCATTGAAGCCCAAGGCATCCATTTGATCCATTTTTTGTCCATAATCCTGAAATAAGAACTTCTCGAAACTAGATGTTACAAGTTTATTGATTCAGAAGCATCTATGATATTCAAAGGAAAGATCGAAGCAATTGAGAGAAAAGAGTAGGTGGGGCCCTCTTATTTTTTAATTGTTTAAATATATAAATAAGTATTAGATTGAAAAAAATGAAAGAAAAATAGGAGACAAATAGCCCAAGGGTATTACAGTCATTTCAGTTTACTAAGGGACCAAATCCGCAACGAAACTACCTCAAAAAGACTACACAGCCAAAAAAGTTGAGGTTTGGACTAAACCTCATAAAAATGCATAACACAAGGACCATTTTTGCAGTTTTGTCTTTTTAAAAACATTTTTGCTGATTGGCAGTTTTGACTTTTACTTTGACCGTTGACTTGTTTACCGGTTTGACTTTTGGTCAAACTTGAGTAGAATTGTGCATTTGGCTAACGATTTGTTTCGGTTTGGCTTTAGGAAGATTGGGTTGGATGTTATGTTGTTGAGGTAGTTGTTGGGCTTCTGTTGAATAGTTCAGGTGAGTCTCTTCACTTTACTTGTGGGTCGAAGGCACTAATGTCGATCCACTGGATTATGTTTATGGGATGCTAGTTGTATGTGTGATACTTACATGTTTTGTATGTTGGGAGGGGCGCGTTATACGAGTTAGGACGAGGCCCATTATACTTATTGGGAGGGGGCCCGTTATGCGAGTTAGGGCGAGGCCCGTTATACTCATTGGGCGAGGCTCGTTATACGAGTTAGGGCATGGCCCGTTATACTCATTGGGTGGGGCCCGTTGCTTGTATGGTATGTGGTATTGTGGTGACAACGGATTTTAGGTTTTTTCGACCGGTTGTTGTGGTGGTGTTGAGAAGAGATAGAGAGATAGAGAAGCAAAATATGTTAGAGAGGTGGTGGGTGTGGTAGGATAGTAAGGGTGGGTGGGATTTTTATTTTTTATTTTCTTATAAATATAGAAACGAAAAAGAAAAAGAAAAAAGAAAAAGGTAAGTGCATAATTGTTATTATAAAAAAAGTTCAAAACAAATTGGACCACAGTCACAATAAATGAAACCTTTCGGACTCGTGGTGCAACTCCAAAACATTTTGAATTGAAGTCTCAATTTTTAGCAAATCACACGGACCAAATTAGAAATAGTGTCTTCTATTTATCATAATATATATTTGACAAAATTGCAAAAATGGTCTATGTAGTTTGTCGAAAATTACCACTTTGGTCCAAAAAGTTTTGAACTAGCACCATCGGTCCAAAACTTTGATTTTGTTGCGAGTTTGGTCCAAAATATTTTGAAAATATCCAAAATGATGGATACGCCCATGGTATTTTTTTAATTAATTTTATTTATTAAAATAAAAAAATGTAAACATCTTTCCCCCTTTATCTACCTTTTTATGTTTTTGTAAACACCCCGTTTATCACTTAACATCACATCATTGGTCAAGCATAATCACCACCACCAGAAGCCTCCGCCGCCGGTAGCACAACTACCACCACCTAGATCCGTTGTCGGTAGGAGGGAGATTAAGAGACATGGTCGGAACTACAGAGATGAAGAGAGACACGAGCGACTTCTCACTCCATCTATAGACAGAGACGGTCTCGGTCCACTATCGAAGTTCTACAAAGGCAGCGACATCCGTACTCGCTTCAACCCTTCACAAACGGAAATCAAATCTAGAAACTCAACCACAGACGGTGATGACTAGTTGATCAATGTCGAATCTTCAAACCCTAACACCTCTGCAAACCCTAGCTCGGATCTGCAAACCCCCGACAGGCAACGACGCTGAAAGCTTGACGAAGACATTCGAAACTCGAGCCATAGATGTCAGCGGCGCTTTAACGGGCCTAGCCAAACCCTTACCGTGGTGACGAATGGTGTCACAGTCGCAATCGTCGTCTTCGGTTTTCAAATCTACGTGGTGGTCATTGCTAGAAAATCGATGTTGGTGGTAGTGTTGAACTGTGTATGTTAGAAGGTTGTTGTGGTGTTGACCGGTCATTTTCGACTGGTGGCAGCGGTTTCCGATTAGTGGCGGTGGTTTTCAGCTGGTGGCAGTGGTTTCCAACAGTTGGTGGTGGTGGTTATTCATATATTTCCAGCAGGTGATGATGGTTGTGCTAGTTTCTATTTGTGAAAAATCAGAAAGTAGAGAGAGATGGGAAAGGGGAAGACGGTTGAAATTTTCTTTTTTATTTTTTTTAATCTGAAAAGTATTTAAATAAATAAAAAACTGAAAAAAATAAGGACAAAAATGTCATTATAAAAAAAATCAAAACAAATTGGACAAAACTCACAATAAAATCAAAGTTTTTGACCAATGATGCTAGTCTAAAAAATTTTGGACCAAGTGACAATTTTGAGATAAACAAAGGACCATTTTTGCAATTTCTTTTAAATAAAACAAAATAAAAATACATCAATGGTATTAGTGTATATAAATTGGCGACAAAACTGCAAATTTGGTCCTTGTGGTTTATAAAAAACTTTGGATGGGGTCCAAAATCTTTTCGACTTGCATGGATGGTCCAAAATCAGAAACTTTATGTGGATTTGGTCCTCTGAAACTCTATTATCTTTGAATTTGGTCCGCATACAACCTAAAATGACTTATATGCCCTTCCAATGATTCTTTTTTAATTTCTTTTCCTTTTCCTTTTTGTATATTTATATTAATCCCTTTTCTCTCTCTATCTCTCTCTCTCTCTCTCTCACACACACACACACACAAATGTCACCTGCTTCTTCAGGATTCCATGGAAGAGTTCCAGTTTTATTGTCGATAGGTTCTTCAACATCGATCTACAATGAAGACTCATCATCACAATGGAGATTTTCTGATGATGTCTAGTTCATGTGAAAATGCTACCTTGGCGACTCAATTCTCTTCCAGAATTGGTACTCCGCTAACCCTCTTGGTGATTCCTTACAAAGGGCTAAAATCAAGACTCACCCATCTTCACTGATAAGAACACTAGCATCAACAAAGATCATCTGGAGGGGATTCATGTCTGAACATCGGTGTGGATGAATGAAGATTAGCAAGAAATCAACCAACACCGTTTTCGATACCCCAAGTCAGAACCAATAGCATCGTTGCTTCTTCTTTCTCCATTCAATCGATCTAAATTTTGTAAAATCTCGTATTCTCCAATAGACATGATATATTTGTTGAATCCACCTTCTAGCATTGCATAAGCCAAATAAATTTTGTACCTGCACCCATGTTTGTTCTTGATTGTGCATAAAACCCCAAAATTGGATGTTGGAATTGCTAGGGTCGACGGTGATAAGAAGGTCGTCGGACCTGTTCTACTTAAAGATGCATCTCTGATAAGGAGGTCATCGGATTTACAGCTAGAGGAAGAAGAAGATGCAGGTAGAGGAAGAAGATGAACTTAGAGAACTCAGATAAAGTTCATGCTCATTAATTTGAAGTTATGGCCGACGATTGGTCGATAGGAAGGACGGTGTAGACAGCAATGCCGACGGTGGGGGTAGGCCATAGGAAAAGATGAAGATGAGGGTGGTGGAGATGGAGGGGTGTGGTGGTGGTGGTGGTGAATAAGTGAAATTAGGATGTGGTGGTTGCCTGGTTGGTGTCATTTGGAGAGAGAGAGAGAGAGAGAGAGAGAGAGAGAGAGAGAGAGGGGGATGAGTAGTTGATTTTATTTTTTATTTTTTCATAATTATTAAAGAGGGTGAAAATTTATTTGTTTTATTTTTTATGATTATTTAAATACTAAAACAAATTAAAAAAATGTAAAATATAAATAATAAGGGCAAAATAGTCATTTTAACCTTTTTAGGACTAAAATCACAGAAAGTTTCTGATTTTGGACCATCCATACAAGTCAAAAGGATTTTGGAGCCCATCCAAAGTTTTTTACAAACCATAAGGACCAAATTTGTAGTTTTGTCTAAATTGGCGCAACAATTGTTTGCCTATTTTAGACACCGGCAGTGTACTGCACTACTACCACACGTTCCGGTGAGCGGTAAAACCATGGTCACAAAATCCGTCAACAAAAAACCCCTGTTTCCTCACTATCTCTCTCCCCCTATAAATTCGGCATCCAGTATTTAATTTATCATTAAGTAGATCCACCACAATCAACGATAATCGGCTATAAACTGAACCGATCTTCACCTGATTTCTTCATAATTCTTATACAATTAAAGCGATCGATAGATTAGGAATGTGCGGTGGCGGTAATCACGATCACGGCGGATGTAGATACGAAGCTGCGTTCCACGCCTTTCAGATGCAAAAGCAGAAGCTACATACCCCGTCAGCGATGGCGACGACAGATGTTAAGCGAGATGGTCTAAGACGATATTCCAGCGAGATGCAGCCGGAAACGAAGGATCGGAAGCGAATCAGGGAACTGGAGAAGGCGGAGAAGGTGCTCCACTTGATTTTGTGGGGACCTAACTCCTAACTCATGATTTCTTATCATCTTATTATGCGTTTGATCTCGAGTATTAGCCGACTCTACTTGTATATAAATTTGGTAGAAATTAAGGAAAGTTGTATTTCAATGAACAATATAATGATATATGCATATAAAAAAGACGATAGGGATATGTCATATATGTGTATTTCGCCAATGATATTTTGAAATAAGATAATCATCACAAACTTGACTTGTTTTTTTTTTTTTTAATTTTCATTTCAACATTAAAGTTTCGTATCATGAAGCACAAATACTTAATATACAGATGCGTAGCAACTAACTGTTCTCTAAAACAGCACAAATAGAATATAAGGGTTAGAATAAGTGGTTCTATAAAGAATTGCTTATGGAAATCGAATATGAAAAAACAGAAAAACAATTGTTTAAAGAATTGAATTTTTTTTGCTAAAAATAGAAATTTCTTTACAAACATTAAGTTGAATAGGTTGCCTCATCTGGGTTGAGCTCCAAACTTTTGGATTTTGGTCGTGAGCCTTGACTCATAGCTAACCATGTTATTGGAATGAGTCTGGTGTGGATTATGGACTAATAACTATATCATGTTTGATGCCATTATTTCAAACATAATGTGGTTGTTATTAATTTATCTATTAAGTGATGAATTATTTTGATTTCTGGTGCGATTAATCAGAACGATTAGTTATTATTTATATTTTCAAACTAATCGTTATATAAGATTAGATGCATCTATTTTGGTTCATGATAATTTTACAATTAGAATAAGAGCACAAGAAAAAAATGCTTGTATGTTTTAAAATATGAACTCTAATCAAATAATTAATATTTTTAAAATTAAGAAATTCTAAAATATTAACAATCTCTAATATTGTTTTTTATCTCAATAAACATTTTATAACGCGTTTTATTAGTATAGAACAATCATGCTTTGTGATAAAACACTTAAATGTGTCAACAAATCTCAACATAAACAACAATAATATACATATTTTCTTTCATCAAACTCATAGTTTACAAGAAAACTCAAGGAGCCACAAAAACTTATGAACCAGGCGCGAACTTGGTGGCATAGACCCATGCATTGTTAGCCACAGGGTCATCCAAATGGTCCAAAAGGTTCTCCAATGGTCCTTTCCCTGTTACAATTGCTTGAACAAAAAACCCAAACATTGAAAACATTGCTAGTCTTCCATTCTTGATTTCCTTCACTTTCAACTCAGCAAAGGTAACCGGGTCGTCAGCAAGTCCCAACGGGTCAAAATACTGACCTCCCGGGTACAAGTTGTTACCATCTCCAACACCATCAAGCCCGTTAATACGGAACCCTTCAACTAGGCCCATTAGGACCACTTGAAAACCGAGTACTGCTAGTATGCTTTGTGCGTGGACCAAGTTAGGGTTGCCCAAGTAGTCTAGCCCACCTTCTGAGAAGATTTGGGATCCGGCTTTGAACCAAACGGGCTCCTTGAAATCCACTTTGACCCATTTTGCAAGGACTTCGGGTGTGATGGAGCCCAGTGCTCCGAGCATGGCCCATCGCCCGTGGATCACCTCAAGAGCCCGGTTTTTAGCGAATGCCTCGGGATCAGCGGACAAACCAGCTGTATCCCAGCCATAGTCACCCGGGAATTCACCGGTCAAGTAGGATGGTGTTTGAGCCGAAAAGGGGCCCAAGTACTTCACACGGTCTGGCCCATACCACAAGTCGTTTCCCTATTAAATTTCACAATAAATATCATCAGTTTACTGCAATGTTGCAAAAGTCGTTAGAAGCTAGTCGATCTGAGATTAGTCGAGATACCTAAATTGTAAATTATTTAATTATAGAAAAATCAAATATAACCAAGATCCAATGGAGGTCAAAGTTTGAGACAATTTTTAAAAGATACACATTTTCAACTACAAATATAACAATATTATTTTTAGACACGTTTTTTAATTACAAAAAGCAGATATTTAACATTTGAAATAATTAATATTCAGGCATTTTGAACGTATATATCTTAAAAGTGGGTCTGTTGGTGACGGATTTTTACGACACTGGTTTACTATAATTTTTGGAGCTAATTTTTCATTTATAAACATATTAACAGCAGCAGTGAATTTACATAAATGTTGTGAGAGGGATAGGTTTTACCATGGTGAATTTGCCATTGACCATGGAGACAGAATCTCTAAGAGTGTTGGCATTGGATCCTTTGGTTTGACCCAAGAAAGGGGTGGCTCGGACCACAGTTGTGGAGCTAGAAGCAGTTGCAGCCATGGATGCCATTGATGGGAGCTTCAATGAGATCGACTGAGGAAGAAGGTGTAGAAAGAGGGGGTATGTGTAGGCATCGGGAATTAGAGACTTGTGGCTAATATTGCATTGTGGTTTTTTGACAAATAAGCAATTTCATTTGCACCAATCAGAACACTTGGAAATATATCTCATATCTACATTCCATATTTGCCCTATCTATTATATCAAACATTAGAATATTCGATGAGACATGTCATCTGGATTTATAAGGTTTCAAATTTAAGCCCTGCTTGTTTTTTTAAAGTCTGCCTGTTACGTAAAAAAAATCCCAAATTTTATTTGATATATAGAGAAGATGTTTGGTATTGACTAGTTGGATATAAAAGAACATTAATCATAAAAAGTGAGAGTATTTTTTTTTTTCGTTTATATGAGGAACTAATGTCGTAATTTACTGCGATAATTTACCAAAATGCAACCAAATATATCAACGATCTTAAAATCATTGAATTATATTTTTTAAAAGATGTCATCATGTTGATGTTATTAACTGGTATTATAAAATCTTTCTAAATTCTGGATCAAAGCCCAACCTCTAAAGAGGAACAAATGGAAAGCCCAAAAGAGGGTAAAAATAATTGCGGTGAACGTGGATCGAACACGTGACCTTCAGATCTTCAGTCTGACGCTCTCCCAACTGAGCTATCCCCGCTAGATGTTAATTTCTTCTACTTATTAATTATTATCATTTGTATACTCTATAAAACAAATTTTTTTAAAACTAATTAAGTCTTTTTTAAATAATTTCAATTTTGACCATCAAAATAGGAAGCAGATATGCGACAGGCAACAAATCAGCACCATGATTATCCCAACTCCTCTCGTCTTTATCCAGTCCGATTTCCCGCCAAATTGCAAGAAACTAGTGACGATTTCCCTCCTCCGCCATCGATTTCTATAAAGCAGGGCATCGTTGAAGTTATCGATTTCTATGAAGCAGGCATCGTTGAAGTGTTGTTCATCATAACCATAACCAGGTTTGTATTCATTCGATCTTCTATAGCATATTGTTTCCTTTAATTGATTGATATTTCGTACGCACATGTTTTAGTTAGGAACGTAGAATGTATTGATCTACTTCATTGATTGTTATCTGTTTAGTGATTTTTCAGCTGCTATTCATTGATTGTTATCTGTTTGGTTTTCAAAAACTTACATGAAATGTTTTAGCGAAGCAAATGTATGATTCTGATCAAACTTCTTAAAAATGAGCAGCTTCATCTACTTCAGACTCCTAATAACTTGTTAATTTCAAACATCCAAGTTAATTTTCGTTCTAATTTTCATAAGCATCCTGACACTTATTTGAATTCTCTTCCAAATTACAGTAGATCAATCCCAAAATTCATAGCCATCAATGTGAAATTATGCATTTGCTCTTAACTTACGCTACTTGTATGTATATTTCTTCTAGACTAGAACACATGCTATTCGAAAGCTCATGAGAACATTATAGGGGTTTGAAGGCATTACTCTCATTGATTTAGTCATTTTGGTATTGGAGCAACCATAGTACTCCTGTTGGTTGGATTTAATTATCTAATCTACACATGTACTCATATTGATATAATTTAACCAAACAACTGCATCTTGAAATTATTCAGTAAGAAGTAGAAGGCTTTTTACAAGAAATATGGCTCCTACCGAAGATCGGATAACCTGGAACAACGAGAATATTGTAATATTTTGTGATGTTTGTATCGACTATATTGCTAAGAATAGACGTGGTCAACTCATGAGATGGAAAGAGATAGAAGATTTGTTTACAGAAAGGATCGGTAAAAGATATCACTCTAAAAGCTTAAAGAACAAATATGATTCAATGAAAAAAGATTGGCGCATTTGGAAATTTTTAAAAACAGGAGAACCCGATTTAGGTTGGAATCCAACGACCGGAAAGCTAGATTGTCCAGATGAATGGTGGGAAAGAAAGCTAAAGGTATTATTGAAATATTATTTTTATTAGAATTATAGTGTCTTATTAATTCATTTTATAGGAGAAAGCCGATGCCAAGAAATACCGACATAAGGGAGTTTGTCCACTTGTTGAAGAAAAATGGGATCAATTGTTCGGAGATGCAGCATAATATACAAAAGGTTCACGAAAACCATTCTGAAATTATGGGTTTGATCAAGAAGGGTAAAGACACGAAAAAGGATGAGGTAGGAACAAGTATTGATGAGATAATGGATATTATGAACCGAATAGTTGCAAATGATGATGATGTTGAGGTTGGTGGAGATATTTGGTGTCATGCAATGCTTATGTTGCGGGATCCCACTAATAGGGAAATATTCTCCAAGATGCCAAGTGATGATGCTAGATGGGCTTGGTTGAAGTTTGCTCAAACGAGAAATATATTTTGAAGATTTAATTTTGATTGAAATATTTTCTTAGTGAATTGTTCTTTTCAAGCTTATTGATGTTAGTACTTAGTTAGATGCTAGTTTTTTATTAGATGCTAATATTGTTTATATGGGTCTTGCATTTGAGTACATTAAAACCAAAGTTGCAACATTCCAATGCATATCACATCATATTGAAAATGTATGCCTTATTTTAAAGTAAATGAATGCGATAATTTATATACATATATTTCTATATTGTTATTGTAACATTTTCTTATCAGGGTGCATTGGTGGTACTCGTATGGATGCTTGTAATAAGATCAGAAAAGGAGTCCTTACATTCAATTATGGATGTATGTGACTTTGGTATTTGTTTATAATCGGTAACAATTTGAATATGTGCTTTCGACCAATGTTCAAAGTGGTTTTCAAATGTGTATCTCTTCGAAGTTGTACTGAATATTTGTTTGGTGAGTTGAAGTTGTGGAAAATATCGAACAAAATGCCAAATTTTAGTGTACGGTTAAATTATGTGAATTATGAAATACATGAAGGACTAATATAATTTTTTATTTTTTAAAAAAATGGGAGAATGAGTGTGAGTAGCCATGAGCAAAGGTCCAAACCCGGCCAAAGCGGTTGAAGGGGAAAAGTCTGCCATAGCCTAAACCGGTTTTGATGTGGGATTTCAGTTTCAAAACGAGATTTCTACCCAAATTCATTTTCCAAACGCTTTTTTAACAATTTACTTAAATTATTTTCTAATTTTAAATAACAAATAAAATAGACTCTTAGGGAGGCGGGAGTCATTCTCTTCCAACCCACTCAACTCACTGCACATCATTTTTTTTCTCTTCTCTCTCTTTCTATTTTTTTCCAACCCACAGCACATAGAAATCTTATTCTTCCCAACTCACTCAACCCACTTACCACATCATTTTTTTATTTAATTAAATTAGAAAATATAAATAAAATATAATTTTTTATAGAATTTTATAGAGAAAACACAAAGTTATACAATTATATTGAGTGAAGTGTGTGTATTGATCTCATAAATTTATACAAAATTACATTAATAAAAAAATAAAGAAATTATGGGTTGAACAAAAGACAAAACATCTCTGGGAATTTATTCATTGAATTGACTTCATATTGACTCTATTGAATTGAATTATTCTGCATCATTTAATTAAATATTGAAATGAATATATAGGCACATGCATGCAATCGGCTTCACCAACCCGCTGAATTGAATTAATTGCTTGAACCCGTGCATCCCACAGAGCAAGGTGCCCTATGCCGGCTGGTACCGTTGCATCCCATATTTGAACCCGCCGTCGACTCTGTCCCCCGTTATGGCTTTTGTTGGAATCTTAAATTCCTTAATATCCTACCAATGTTTTCCACTCCAACAAAGTAAACTTGATTCCTGGAACAAAGTAAGGGACACCAACAAGTGGTTGGGTCTCATGTGTATTAATTATAGGATTAAAATGATTCTATCAATCCTATATATTCAGTGTATTACCAAGAGGGTTAAACACACCAAAAACACAGCAACATACATAGACATATACACATATATATGTAATTGGTTTTGAGTTATATTTCCAATCAATCAAAGAGTTATTTTGATATATATATTTGTCTGTGTCTTTACAATTGCAATATTAGAATTGGTATCAGAGCTGAAGGAGAGGGGCTTTGAATTCATACCTGGTGATCAAGAAGGACACCGGTAAAAGAAGATGTCAGATGTCGATGATACTGGAGGTGCTACTCCTCAGGTGAGGGAGAAGTTGATCGGTTCATCCAATGTCACATGTCTGATGCTCACACCCACAAATTACACTGTATGGGCGATGAGAATGAAGGTTGTGCTTCGAATCCACAAGGTGTGGATCGTGATCGATCCAGGAACCGACCAAAATGAAGAAAAAGATTGCTTAGCCATGGGACTGCTATATCAATCCTTGCCAGAAAACCTGATAATGCAAATCGGTGAACAAGAATCAGCAAAGAAACTCTGGGATGCAATTAAATCAAGAAACGTGGGGGCTGAAAGAGTGAAAGAAGCAAGGCTACAAACCTTAATGACGGATTTTGATCGGCTCAAGATGACAGAGTCTGAATCGATAGATTCCTACGCCAGAAAGTTGTCCGGTATCGCCTCCAAATCAGCGGCCCTCGGAGAAACGATAGACGAGTCTAAACTCGTCAAGAAGTTCTTGAAAACACTGCCACGATCGAAGTTTATTCAGATCGTCGCCTCGTTGGAGCAGGTACTCGATCTGAAGACGATCAGATTTGAGGATGTTGTAGGTCGACTAAAGGCGTACGAAGAAAGGATAAGAGAAGATGATGGCGGAAACGAGCAGAGGGTTATGTTCACTCGAAGTGGTGAAGGTTCAAACCACGGTGGTGGCTGGAGCGGTGGAGGTGGTTCTGGTTCAGGGGGATCGTCGGGAGGGAAGAAGGAGTCGAATAAGGGAAGAAAAGGGGGTTCGGGGGGTTTTAATCGAACCGGGTCAGGTGGATCCGGTGGAGCCGGGTCTTCAAACGGATCTGGGTCAAAATCAACCCAACCCAATAATAAGCCCAAACAGCCCAATAACCGGCCCAATTCCAATTCGGACTCAAACCGAAACCCGAAAAAAGATCTGTCGAAGATTATATGCTACAGATGTGACAAGTCGGGCCATTACGCATCCAAATGTCCGGACCGAACCCAAAAATTCCAAGAAAGTAATTTTACCGAACATGACGATGCCGATGAAACAGTATTTTTACACGAGACCGTATTTTTGAACGAAGAGAAGGTGATACCGTCTCGATACAACTCACAAGAAAACGATGTATGGTATTTGGATAACGGGGCGAGTAATCACATGACGGGAAATCGTTCATTTTTCTCAGATATCGACGAAGGAATAACCGGAAAGGTTAAATTCGGTGATAATTCGTGTGTCGAAATAAAAGGGAAAGGCTCAATTCTTTTCCAAGGAAAATCGGGGCAGCAACGTTTGATGACAGAAATATATTTTATACCGGATCTGAAAAATAATATTTTCAGTCTCGGTCAAGCAACCGAAGCCGGATGTGATATTCGGATGAAAGACGAATATTTGACGATGCATGATGCCGACAACTGCTTATTAATGAAGGTACAAAGAACTCCAAACCGCCTTTATAAAATAAAGTTGACTATTGGAGAACCAATTTGCCTTCATTCAAGACTAAGTGAAGACACGTGGCGCTGGCATGCAAGACTTGGACACATCAATTTCGAGTCAATGAAAAAGATGTCCAAGAAATGTCTAGTCAAAGGGTTACCCCATTTTGACAGTGAGAATCAATTATGTGAATCTTGTTTGGTGGGCAAGCAAACAAGAAAGTCATTTCCATTAATGACGACGTACAAAGCAACACGACCATTGGAGCTAGTTCACGGTGATTTATGTGGTCCGATAACACCGTCAACGAAGGGTCAAAATCGATACATTTTCACACTAATTGACGATTTTTCACGGTATATGTGGATTTTTCTCTTAAAAGAGAAAAATGAGGCGTTTTTACACTTCAAAAAATTTAAAGCTTTGGCGGAGAATGAGCTCGGAAAGTCTTTAAAGGTGTTTCGAAGTGATCGAGGAGGTGAGTTTACTTCGCTCGAGTTTAATTCCTTTTGTGATATGAATGGAATCAAACGCCATCTTACCGCCCTATATTCACCACAACAAAACGGTATTGTGGAACGAAGAAACAGAACACTTATGGACATGACACGAAGTATCATGAAGGTGATGCATGTTCCAAACTATCTATGGGGAGAAGCGGTAAAACATTCCACAAACCTTATCAACCGTGTTTACACAAGAGTACTTGGTGATACAACTCCGTACGAGAAGTTGTATAAAAGAAAACCTAATTTGGAGAACGTACGCATCTTTGGGTGTTTAGCGTATGCAAAAGTTGAACCGGTAAACGTGAAAAAATTGGATGCAAGATCAAGACCATTGGTTCATCTTGGTTCTGAACCGGGTACAAAAGCCTATCGGTTATTTAACCCGGTTACACAAAAAATAATCGTAAGTCGAGACGTTATTTTTAATGAAACCAAAGGATGGAATTGGGTTAACGAAGCTACACCTGACAATGAAGAACCAGGATCATTCATAGTACCATGGGATTTACCGGAAGATAAGGCAAACAACAACCAAGGAAACGAAGTAAACAACGAACCAAACGAATCGGATCACGAGATTGAAGACGGAGTGGAGGTACAAGAAAATGAGCAACCAAGTCCGATCAACAACAACGTGAACAATGTTCAAAACCAAAGGCCCACAAGACAAAAGGTGCTTCCAATTCGATTACGAGATTATGTACTTTATGTTGATGAAATTGAAGAACTTCTCCTAGCAACCAATGACGAGCCGGTATCGGTTGAAGAGGCGAAGAAAGAACCAGAGTGGGTCAAAGCCATGAATACAGAGATCAATTCAATCAACAAGAACAATACTTGGTCTCTCGTAAACAAACCTATGGGGGTGAAGCCCATTGGACTCAAATGGGTGTTCAAGCTGAAGAAAAATGCAGATGGCACCATAAACAAACACAAGGCGAGGTTGGTTGCTAAAGGGTACGTACAACAACCTGGTATTGACTTTCAAGAAGTATTTGCTCCGGTAGCTCGCATCGAAACCATACGGTTTCTCATTGCCTTAGCCGCTACCAATGGATGGGAGCTTCACCACTTGGATGTCAAGACGGCTTTCTTACATGGAGAGTTGAGAGAAACCGTCTATGTGTATCAACCGGAAGGCTACATAAGGAAAGGCGACGAGCACAAGGTGTACCGTCTTTCAAAAGCACTATATGGTCTTAGACAAGCACCGAGAGCATGGAATACAAAACTTGATGGGATTTTGAAAGGAATGAAATTTCACAAGTGCATGAAAGAACCATCGGTGTACCAGAAGAACGAAGGATCCAACTTGCTAATTTTAGCAATCTATGTTGATGATTTGTTTGTCACATGTACAAATTTGAGCATGATCAAAAGGTTCAAATTTGAAATGTCCAAGAACTTCGAGATGTCTGATCTTGGAAGATTAACTTACTACCTGGGCATTGAAGTCAAACAAGAAGAATCAGGGATTACTATAAACCAAGAAGTGTATGCTAGACGCATTCTAAAAGAAGCCGGTTTACACGATTGCAATCCGACCCACATTCCCATGGATCCAGGAACCAAAATGTCGAAGGCCGAAGATGAACCCGAAATCGACCCGACACAATACCGAAAGTTGGTAGGATGCCTTAGATATCTCTTGCAGACAAGACCCGATATGGCATATGCGGTTGGAGTTGTTAGTCGATACATGCAAGATCCAAGAGAATCACATGGTGTTGCAATCAAACACATCCTAAGGTACTTACGTGGAACAACGTCACATGGAATCAAGTACGAGAGGATGGGGCAAAACCGGATCATTGGTTACAGCGATAGTAGTCACAATGTCGACCCGGACGACGGAAGAAGCACAACCGGTCACATTTTCTACTATGGGTTGTCTCCAATAACATGGTGTTCTCAAAAGCAAGATATTGTTGCTTTATCATCTTGCGAGGCGGAGTTCATGGCTGCAACTGCGGCTGCATGTCAAGCAATATGGCTTCAAGATTTGCTAGGCGAAATCATGAACAAAGCACAAGAGAAGGTGGTCCTAAGAGTTGATAACAAGTCAGCTATCGAACTCACGAAGAATCCTGTTTTTCACGGAAGAAGCAAACACATTCACACGAGGTTTCACTTCATTCGTAAGTGTGTTGAAAAGGAACAAGTGGAGGTGAAATACATTCCAGGTGAAGAACAAAAGGCAGACATTCTCACAAAACCATTGGCTCGAACCAAGTTCAAGACAATGCGGGACTTGATCGGGATTGAAAAACATCTCTAGAAGGACTTAGAGATTCGGGGGTGATTGTTGGAATCTTAAATTCCTTAATACCCTACCAATGTTTTCCACTCCAACAAAGTAAACTTGATTCCTGGAACAAAATAAGGGACACCAACAAATGGTTGGGTCTCATGTGTATTAATTATAGGATTAAAATGATTCTATCAATCCTATATATTCAGTGTATTACCAAGAGGGTTAAACACACCAAAAACACAGCAACATACAAAGACATATACACATATATATGTAATTGGTTTTGAGTTATATTTCCAATCAATCAAAAAGTTATTTTGATATATATATTTGTCTGTGTCTTTACAATTGCAATATTAGAGCTTTCAAATGCCACCAACCTCATGTTCAAAAGAATTTTCTATGATTTTTACATCACAACATATTACACAAGTTTATGTTCAATTCCAAACCCAATCCGGCCTGGTTTTTTCATCGAAACCGTTGGAACCGGAATCAGAAAACCCAAAATCTAAGAACCGGAAACCGACATATTTGCTAAAAACCATCCAATCCAGTTCAGTCGGGTTCAAATGCTCATGCCTAGGCAGGGCTAACAAATCAACAGCCAGCCGACTCAACTATATAGGTTTTTAAGTTCCTTGTAATTATCCATTTTCAAAACCGAGGATACTAAGAATAAATCTTTTATAATGAATAATAATACCAAGTGAAGAAACTCGAGGAGTCCCGATTACATTACTTTCTCTACAACAACATGCTAATTGCTACACAAGTGTTTCCATATATATATATTCCACAACATGAAACAACAAATTCCCACACCACAGCATCTACTCTCATATACACAAACAGGCCAAATCGCCAGCCCACACACCATGAGCCTAAACCTCCAACATCTACTCTCAGTCATACACAAACACAAACCGGCCAACTCCGAACCGATTGCCCCGTATGCATACAGGTCAACCCTTCAACCGATTCGACAAAAACGGTCCAGCATCACACGGGTCAACCCAACCCACCCACAACAAGACCCGTTTTACCAGTCTTGAAAACAATATTATCCCCATACACATAGGGCAAAGTATGTAATAACATCACACTATCCTCTCTTTATCTTTCCCTCTCTTGCTTAACTTCCCCCACCAATGTTTACCCCGCTTATCACCACCACCACCACCACCTCCGCCACCACAACCGCCGCCATCACCGCCACCCTCACTTTCCGGATGTACACCCTTCATGAGTCTCGCTTTGGCCTCCCGCAACCGCTGCTTGTACTCTTTTTTCCACATCTCAAATCTCTTTTTTAAACTTTTATACTCTTCGATTTGCTTCGAGGAAGGCGGGCGGCCCGGCTTCACGTCTATAACAGCTTTAGCATCGGTATCAAAAACCTGCTTTTTTTGTTCAAACTCCTTGGACAAGTGATCAATGGTGTCCGAGACAACACCATTGGCGTTGGATTCCCGTTTATTGATTCCGATTCTGGCGGGAGTAACTTGCACCGGAGTTTGGATTCCGGAGATATTGTCTTCGGAATCATAATAATACGGCGAAAGTGAACCCTCTGGTTTTCCTTGTTGCCCTTCAGATATGTCTGAACCAAGAGTCTTTTTAGCTGCAGCAAGACTCATCTGTAGTGTAAAATCCACCAACAAAAACCATGATTAGACCAACTGTTTGGAAAAAAAAAAAAAAAAAAAAAAAAAAACTTACTTGTAAAGATGCCATCTGAGTTTGCCACATCTCCTCTACTGCCTTCATTTTAGTTTCATATTCTGACCAGCGCATTTCAAATTGTCGTATTTGGTCCCTCAATGCGGTATTTTCACGCTCTCTTTCGCTCAAAGACGATTCCGCCCTCACTACTCGCCTCTGCAGCTCTTCAACATTTTGTGGCAGAATCGGCATATTTTCCTGTGATGAACCAATTCACAAGATTTTCAATAACTTTTTTTTTTAAAAAAAAAAACTATAAAACAATTCAATCAATGTATAGATTAGATTAGATTACCTTGGATTCTGAATTTCCAGTGTCAGACCTTGGCCTGCTTTTAGAACCATCAACAGCCAACTTCTTCCATCTTTGTAAGTGATTAAAATATCTTCGGGCCAACCAGCCACGAACAAATGACTGTAGATGTACAACTGCTGTTAAATGCTCATCAAGTGAACTTGTTGCAAGCTGCTTATTAAGTTTCTTTAAAACACCATACTCCCTTCTTGCATTTTCACCACGAACAACTGCATCAATCAATCAATCAAATCAAAACTTTAATCCTTTACTCATTACACTAAAAGAAAAAAAAAAAAATCAAATCTCTTACATGACTGCAATGTCACAACTCCAAACTTCAATTCATGTAAATCAAGAAGAACTCGGCCACCAAGGAAGCTGTTTTCCACTTCACGTGTACCTTCTACAACTTCTTGTCTATTATTCTCCAATACATCAACCTACACCCACCAAATTGCATTAATAAAATATAAAATATGATAAAAGCTTATCAGTCACACCAATTTTTTATTAGTTTTTAAAGCTCACCTGTTCTTGGAAAAATAGTTTTGTATATCCAACCTGATACGTGTGTGGAGGGACATGATACTGTTGTAAAATAGCAAGTGATGTACTCAGTGGATCCATACAGATAATGTTCTCCGATAAAAGACACCCAAACCTGATAATACATTTTCTTTTTTAAAAAATGAAGCACAATACGAAGGGCATAATGGGGAAACGAGTTTTAATTTTATACCGGTTAGCGAATTCTTGATGTGTAAGGCGTATTGAGTATCTGGATTTTAAGATTTGTACAATCTCCATGACTCTACTGCATCTAAGCTGTTGTAATACAAAATCCTTTTCATACATTCCAGGAAGCTGCTTGGTGTTTGGTCTTATGCATCGAATAAAGTGTGCCTTTGAATTTTCTAATTGCTGAATCAGTTTAAATAATTGTTCCTGCAATTCATCATCCAGAAATTTTATTTAAACCCAAATTCAATCATTTTCAAATTTCCCACAATAATATAATTATTACCTTGAACTTCACCCCAACACTTTGCACATGTGAAACAGAGGCAAAAAGATTAAGGAGACTTTTACGGGATGCTGAGAGGAGTTGGATTATATCAGACTGTAAATTATCACGGTTTTGTTCTAAGAACCCTGTAGCATCATATTGAACCTGCACATATATGTAATTATTTATCAAAAATATGTTCATTGTTTTAGTAGTAGTAATAATAACTTAATAATAATTAATAAATACCTCTCCAGCATAATGGCGAACTTTGAAAGCTCCTTTTTCAACACTAAAGCATGAATTAGAACTGAGGTGACGTTTAGTTTTATTAGTAAATGTTACATCAGTGGCTTTGGAAGAATTTGAACCCTCATCTAGCATAGATATTAGTCCCATAGGTTTCTGTAACAATCAAAGAATTTAAAATAAATAACCGAAATAAATGAATAAAAATGAGCTCGAAACTAATACCTTCTCAAAAAGATCCAAACACTCATGGTTGTCTTCAAACTCTACTTTTTTCCAGTGAATTCCTTCCAATTCGTACTCCTAATAATTATAATAATTAATATTGTTTGTATTTTATATGGAAAAAAAACACTATCAACTATATTAATTAATATATATACCTCTTGTTCAAGCTTACATAGATGGCGAATGAAGTGCTGCTGCAGCCTCTCATCAGCATAATTTATACACAACTGTGAAAAGCTGTTTTTCTGAAAGAAAAAAAAAACAAACAACAAAACTTGTCACATTAAAGATGACCATGGATTTTAAAATTACAAGAAAAAAACAATTACCTGAAATGACTCAAACCCATAAGTGTCAAGAATGCTTATTGTCCTTGGAGTATGTTGTTTGTCTTTGTCCCCTTCAAGTGATTTATTAAGTTCTCCCACAACCCAACTGAACAAGCTCTCATAAACAAATTTTGCCAATGCGTCTCTTTTATCAATTGCCTAAAAGTAAATAAACCAATCCTCAATAACAAGATGAGGGGTATTTACGTCTTTTGCACAAATGTTGACATACCTGTTGCAAAGTTAATGGTTCGCCCATATCATTGGCAGATAAAATCGCCACCAGGTCATTCACCTTGCATCCCATTAACTTAGCAGCACTCCTACTAGCTTCAAATACAAAAAAAAAACACACACAAATTAGAAATAATAGTATGAGTAGAGAGTATGTATTAGTATTACATTACAGAATTAAATCATATAAATACAAACCTTCATCAGCCACAACCTCAACATATTCATCTTCATCAATTACTGTAAATGAAATATTCCCAAGCCATAAGATTGCAGAAAGCAATTCAAAGGCATGCTCAAGATCCTCAAGGGGAATCCCAACAATATCAAACGCTTCCCTGTTAAAAAAAAAAACCATTTCTCAATTCTCAATCAATAAGTAGCATCAGCCTATGAGGCTTAAAAACCCTAAATTCTGAAGTTACCATTAGCTTTTCAAAGTTATGGGCATCATCAAGACCATTGATTTTCAAACACCCACTCTGATTCAGAAACTTATACTCACTTGCCAATTTCAAATTCAGTCTATCTGTGGAAAGAACAAAAGTAAACAGTCTGGTCATTTCCTGGGAATTACTGTATAAAACAAAAACTGTAACTTTTTTCAACTTTCAATGACAGAATTAAAATCAAACAGAAAGAACCTTTAAAAGCAGGTGGAGCTCCAGCACACATCTGATAGAAGATATGAAATGATCGTTCTCCACGACATAATTGAGATACTCTAAACTGCACAAATCAAAATTACTTCAAAACTTATATTCTAGAAACTAATATCAAATATAAAAAAGTAAAATATTACAAAAGTAAATACCTTTTCAAGAAGAACTGTTGATGTTTTTCACATGAAAATATCAAAGTCAGTATCCAAGTAAGGAAGTCAAATTAAAATAATGGTCAACTTCAGACTTACGTGTTTTAATACAAGCACCAGATACTGTCCCCTCTGTGTTATAATAAATATCGATTAATTTCCCCTACATTGCAAAAAAAAAAACTCCAAATCAGATATACATTCAGGGAATAGGAATCAATCACTAGAAAGGGAATGGAACCCACGAATCGGCTGGAATTGCAATTCCGGGATGTTTTTGCATTCCCGAAAGCTTCCAATATGCAACTGGTATGAGTTATTTTGGATGCCATCTCACAATTGTCACCTCCAACAGATGCCAGATACTGCAGTGCAAACTTTGCTGTTTCTGTCTTCCCAGATCCACTTTCACCCCCAACAACAATAGACTGGTTTCTACCATCTGAAAGAATTATCAAGAAAAAATATTAACATTATGAATTTACAATTCAATATATTGAACTCTTTATTGAATCTCACATTTCATCAGATTATTGTATGCAGTGTCAGCTGTAGCATATACATGAGGGTTCTCCAATATCTTTTCCCTATAAGCAGTCACATAATCGTCTCCATAAATTTGAACATCTTTGAAGGGATTGATTGCTAATAGGACGGGGCCCGCCTTACTCTGTAAAAGCAAACCGATGTCTAAGCCAAAGAAGTAAAGTAACCACATCAAGACATGTAATAGGATGTTTATGTGTGGATGATATTCTTACATAAATTACATCACGAGCATATCTATACTGGAGATTGTAAGAACTGATGGCTCATTCAGGTAACCAAGTTCAACAAGATCGTCTACTCCATCAAGAACTTCTGGGTTTGCAGGTAAGAGATCTCCTGTAGATACTGTCATCACCTACAGAAACAGCAACGGAAGTACATTAACATCAATAAAAATGTTGGATTGAAGAGATTTGTGATTAATTAATAGACTCACACTTCCATCCAAAAGCATAACAGATGCTTCATCTCCTACGGTTGATTTGATCTTTGCCAACTCCCATTGGTCATTGCGGGGCCTACACCATACTCGAAGTTTCTGAAGCAAACCAGTTAAGAGCATCAGAATTGAAGAAGTGAAAAAGTGAACCTGTTGATTGAAGGTAGATGAATTGAAATGAGTAAATCTTTTACCTTCTTAACGAAATAACAAATACTATCTTCCCAATCAGTTTCCTGTGAGATCGATGGAGTAGCAAGGGTGGCACCACCGTCCTCCGCCAGTCTCTGCTCACAAACAGGCGCCATGGTGTATGGTGATTCGCCAACAGCTGCCGCTGCTGTCACTTTCTTCCGGCCAAAATGACAGACGCTGCCAGTAATACATTTGACATCTTGCTTTTTGATGTTAGTGAAATCTGGAGGCGCAACATATTCAACATCAAGCTTCGACGGAAGCAGCCGCTTAGGGAGGCGTGCCTTGGATGTAGGCCGTGTCGGCAACGCCGGCGGCAAGTCTCGATTCTCGTCCTCGTCTCTCCGACGAAGAGAGTCGAGCATTTCCTCCAAAGAACTCCGAGCTACCGGGGGTGGAGAAAGTAGCATCTTTTCAGAAATTACAACACCACACTCTCGAATTGAATTCAAAAACCCCTAAATTTACATATAAACTAAAATCATTATGCTTCAAAATTGAAACAATGCCGATGATAACGACATTGCTGAAAAAACTCTATAAACCCTAATCCAATCCAATATCAATTGATCAGAATTAAACAATCAACGACCCCAATCTCGCGAACCAATTGCAAGATTCAATCCTTCAAAAACTCTGCTACAAAACCCCAACCTGAACAGCTGAAGATTCCCTTAATTTTTGGGATTTTGACGAAAGAAAATACGTATAAAAAAACCAAAATCTACGAGGGTAGAAGAGGGTTTTACGCAAAAATCGATGTGTCTTTGTTTTCTACTGTCTAAAAGCACGAGTTACAGGATTAAGACGACGATCGATGAAAGATTGCTCAGGGTTGTCCCCAAAATCAAACCGGATATAGAACAATTTGAGAAGAAAGATATCCGTTGAAAAAGAAACTTTAAGAAAAAGCCTGGCGTGGCTGTTCCTAAATTCATAAAAATTTATTTTGGAAAAAAGAAAAGAAAACCCACAATAATTTTTTGGGTTTGGTTTGGTTTGAATGTTTGATGCTCGATGGGAAATTTTGAATTTTTCAAGAAGATAGTGGTGGCGCGGGGTGCCGTATACGATTGAACTGAGATTTGATGGTAAATATGGTAAAAACAAATAAAGATAGTGGTAGTTAAATGTAATTTAAGGCAAATTTGAAAGAAAGTTCTTGGATTTAAGTATATTATTAGGAAATATAGATTTTTTAATTTGTTATAATTAAAACCTAATTATTATTTTAGATTTCAAATTTGTTTTGATTTGTGAAATAATTTTCGAATGCTTCAATCAAACCTAATAATAACTATTATATATATTTATATTTTACTATTGATATATCATTAATTATTTATATGATACTATATTAGATATGAGACTCATTTATTGTTTATTATATGAGACTATTAAAAAAAACTAATATTATATGAGACTATTAAAAAAAACTAATATCAAGTTGTGAAAATTAAATAACTTTTAAAGGAATATATATATATATATATATATATATATATATATATATATATATACTTTACTGAATAAGTATATAATTGAACCCAAAATACTATATTCTAAATAATTGTTATAAATCACAAATTTTTAAATATTTCTTTAAATACAATATTAGATGTTTTATTGCTAAAGTTACTGTTATTGTCTAAAATTGATAATTTCAATTTGTTTCTGCTTTTAACTATATAAGATTGAATTATTTTGAACCAACGGGTATTCTTCAAGTGATTTTCCCAACAGTGATACAAATTGCTTTTCAACAACATTACATTTAAAATTTGTCCCCACAAACAAAAGTAATAATTTTAGTTAATATCAATATTGTTAATCATACAATAACGTACATATATAGTAATTATAATTTAGAAAATTAATTAAAAAATAATATATGAAATGTCATTTGTTTGTTCATAAAAATCATTCCAGTAAGATGAATTTATTGAGGGTTATGTTAGATTGTTTGTTTCCAGATATGGATTATTCTGACCTTAATTATGTAGTCATCTTTTGATACGCAGGGTTACTATGCATGCTAATTTTGCTTGGATCCATATTAACCTGTAATGAAGTATCAGTGTATTTTACTTAATAACTTATTAATATTTGCCATGAAAATTTTGATAATCATTATGCCTTAATAACTTATTAATATTTGCCATGAAAATTTTGATAATCATTATGCCCTTTTAAATGTGCATGTAGTGTGCAAATGATAAAGAAAAAAAACATAAAAATATATTAGTTTGGTATAATTCAGTAACAAATGCGGATAAAAGACTACCAAACTTAGATTATATTTAAAAGACTTATATGCCCCAAGAATTAAATGAGCATAATGGTGTGTATTCCATCATAGTGAAAATTTAATTATTATTATTACTAACAGCGGGGCGTGAAAAACCATTGTTAGTATTTCATCTGTCCGGTTTCTTCAACATAAAACCTTGGCCGCATAAACTCACTAATTACAATCTTTTTTTCAGTTTCTCCATTCCTCCTGCTTCACGCAACCATCCAAGAACGACGTCTTCTTCTCACGTTCTTCGACCTCGACCGATCAAGATCGATGTCAAACTTCTAACTTCCTAGCAGTTGAATCCGTTGAGGGTCGACCATCTCATGATCTCTCTCCCCCACAGACCCTAAATTTCAGTTGCCCATTACTACAATTCAGGGTTCATATATAAATCGATTTCATGACCAATATCGATGAGCAATCAATCCCTCTACTTCATGATATTTTACTATCTTTTGCTATAGTTTTACGCTTACGTAATTGCTTTTTGTAGTTGGATCGATCTTTTTGTTGAAGTTTACACGTTAGTCAATCGGTTTCTCCTATATGTATTCATCAGTTGGGATGGAGAAACATATGTGAGAGAAGGAAAATAAAGGAAGTGAGAAATAAGGAAGCAACAACGTACACATGCACTACTGGTGGTGGTAGTTTTTGGATCGATGGGGTTGCCACTGCCGGCATTTGGCTTCAAAAAAGGCCTAAGAAGTAGGCAATAGTTACATTCTCCTTCATCAGTTTTGCAATTTCTCTGTTTATTATAGAATTGACTTCCACATTTAGTTTATGTGCATATTACATTCGGAATTCAAGTTAACCTTGTGGAACATGATGTGATAATTCACTATTGTTTGTCAATTGTTAGATATAAGTCTAATGGCCACCATTTTTAGTCCATATTGTTTGTTTTGACAATTAGGTTTTTGCCGCTTTGGGTTGTTGTCCTCATTACTGTTTTGGATTGGTAAAATTTACTCTGTTCTTACCTTTTGATATTGATTACTTTTCATTTAATAGTATAAAATTTCATTTTTAGATATATTCAAATGGTTTAATCTAATGGTCATTTGTTCTTGAACCCTAAAAGTGGAAATCGAACTATATGTCAAAAATTGAAACAAAATCCTTGACCATTCATCACTGCCGAAAACCATCCACTCAATAACAAGGCGACTCCTAACACGAATCTCCAACATTAGTACCATCCCAGTCTCATCTTGTTGTCCCAAAATTACATTCATGTTGCAACTGAGACCTCCTTAGTCTCGTATTTACCTACCAATTAACTGATATACTAGATATCCAACTGATAGCGGAGGCTGATAGCCTCACACAGTCACACCACACGATTCCTGAAAGAGGGTCTATCTGGCGAGAGCTGTCCTAACTCGCTTTCCATAATGGTTCCAACAGCCCTCCTGATCCATCCAAGGATAATCATAACTAACTATTACACCGATGCAACAATCCACCTTGCTATAATTGGACGTCACATGCCCAACTGTAGTCTTATATCACAACCCCCCTACGGCCCACAACCTTCCTTAATTCCACGAATGTTGTAGCTTTCCCACATCCTCACAACCTGATCCCACCACAAGGATTCGACTAAAGGTTTAACTGATAAGGGCTACCCTAGCTAACTATTACACGAATACCAACCGTTGACCATAGAGTCATCCCACTCTAAACGTAATCCAATACCTAGCTCAAGCCAATTTCCATCGGGTCTCACCCATTCTATCACAACCAAACGGGCCTCACCCACGGGTCTCACCCAGTCTGCACTATTGAACGGGCCTCGCCCATGGGTCCCACCCAATCGAGTGTTATACATGCCTAGTCTCGCCTCGGATCCAACGATCCTCGTACCCACACAAAGAGAAGTCCCCCGACAATATGTGATGATCCTCTTTCAGCCCAACGACCACTCTAACGATGGTCTACCTCATTCTGGTGAATGCTACGACTACATCGCAGACTTTCAACACTTCCTCAATAGCATATCATCCTTATGTATGCTACGGCTACCCCCATAGTCTTCCAGCACTTCCATGTTGTCATGGTCCCACCTATGGCCTTACCGGCCATCTACTATACCAACCGTAATCATCCTGAGTCAAACTCGCATCCGACTATACCCCAACCAGGTGTTTAGGTTATGCTTCGAACCCCAAAGCCTTAATCAGACAACAACAGGCAGAGAGGCCCTAACGCGACCCTTAACCTGTTTTTGTTCGCATACCCACCATATGTCACTTACTAATGCACAATGAATCCTAAATATCCATTCTTGTGCAACCCTTAGACCAAACGATTATCCTCCACTTGGATTCGGCCGAGCTCTTCCAATCAATAAAAATTTAAGGATTCTCAATCCATCTCACAACCTTACAATTCAAACTGTCAACAACCTGAGCTCACACAAACTAGCATTCCATTACTAACCAATCTTGGCGATCATATACCTTCCAAAACCATATCAGACGTATCACCAATCCAACTACCCACTTATTGAAGAAAAAATTATGCACTCAATACATCTCTATCAAAGTCCATTTAATTCCTCTCGAAAATCCGAATATCAATACAAATCTGAGCGATTAATTCGTGACTTACTCCTCTGAGTGGTGGTTCTCTTCTGCTCTTGCCCTACCAACAGCAGTAATCGATTCAAGGCCTGCCACCAATCAGCTGACATCTCTCATGAGCGATACAAGCGCTTCTTGAATTCTATGTTCGTTGTCCCATATGAGGATAACCAGTTCCCACAAGATCCTTGCCCCTGATACGAGTACCGCACTTGCATCCTGAATACATGAATTTGGCAGATATTCATCCGACACTTGCGTTCTAAACAGTCCTTTATATATATCAATCGTGACAGATTTTTCACTAGCTAGAGTCTCAACATTCCCATAAACTTGACGACTATTGTTCTTATACCCATGATCACACCCATTCCTCATTACCTCGAAACCATAAAGAACACTCACATATCTGGCCTTCAACTCGACATACCCACCTTGCGGACTTGTTGAATTCTTGTTGATACCACTAAAGATCGGACCGGCCGCTGGTCTCCTAAACAGGATACTCAATCCCCTTCTAAACACGGCCCACGGTATGAAAAATAACATATGAAAATTCTTTGAATGATGACTTAGTCAATCATAGAGGACCCCTAAAGCTTAGATGGGGTTCTTGGAAGCTTCCCAATGTCACAACTTCAAACCTAGAAAGAGCGATCCATACACCTCTGAAATATGAGGCGCCCAGGACTGAACCCCATCCTGAAGAAATTGTAGAAATTCTAATATGGTTCTAACAATTCTATCATACAAAACATTTCTGGTCCAACGATACAACACTGGACAAGAACATACTTATTGTAGATATAAATACCATTATATAACTGGGCTCAACATACATACCAGTGATTTCTTGCGGCTCGATCTTGACCTCCTGTGGGACGATGGGTGTTGGGGCCTGCATCCCCTCCGCCACCCATGCAGGACAACTGGACTTGAAATGACCCGACTGGTGGCAATGAAAACATATTTGATCCTTCTTACAATATCAGTGCACATGCCCTATTTCTCTACATCTGAAACACCTCAACTTGTGAGTTCCCCCACACTTGCCACATATCTCATAGTTCCCCTGACTTCCAGTACCCAGGCCAGCTGCATCAAACC